CTGGGCAAAACCAGACCCTCATCTTTAAAAAAGTAGAAAGAAAGAAAGAAGGAAATAGAGTGAGTGTGTGTCCTAAGTACGTGATTTGAAAATATTTAATTCAATACTTTCTCTGCACTTTTTCCAAGTGAGAAGCAGGAATCTTTTTCTAAATATTAGAATTTTAATACTAAATTTCTATATGTTAGAAATAACATATAGAAATTTAGTATTTCTCATAACAGCAGCATTATGTAGTAGAAAGGAATTTAGGAGCTAAGTTAGGGGAGCTGGGTCCATGCTTTTGTTGAGGTGCTCACTGGTTATTTGGTGTTGAACAACACTCTGAAACACTTGGATGAACACTCAGTTTACCAGTTAGATCCCCTCTGCATTTCCCAAGTGCCTACCACCTTGTTCAAGAGGAATTTTCAGAATTTGTTGATTTCTACCCTGTGTTCTACATCTTTTCTTGCTTAGGTTGTTAACTTCATAAATGTCATTCTTAACTTCTGGTTCTATGGTTATTATTATTATGGACATTTGAAGTGTAGATATGGGCTATTAATCTGTATGTTTTCTTCATGTTCAGACCCAGGTGCACATCTAACTGAAATCCTGGATCCCAGTATCTCACCATCTCCAAACTCTAGCCCTCCTAAGCTTCCTCAACTCATAATGATATTACTCTCCACCAAGTTGCTCAGGTCAAGATTCTGGGTATCACATTTGATTCCTTTCTTCTCTTCAGCCCTGTATTCAAGTGCACCAGCAAAGTCTATTGTCCTACCGCCCCTCCACCCCAAACAACAACAACAACAAAATCCCTGGTTGAACTGAAGCTGTCTTGCTCCAAGCCACTAACTTCTTTTGCCTGGTTGCACTCTCCACACTCACCCATCTTGCCACTTTTATCCTTGACCTTCAAAGCAGCAAGGATTATTTTTAAAAATACAAATCAGACAGCATTGAAATTCTCCTTAAAAATCAGTTCCATTCAAAGCCCTTGATAAGACCTCAAAGACTCCCTATGCCATTGCTCCAGTCTCTTGTGATCCCATCTTACAGTCCTTTTCTGTGTTCCTTGAATATATAGTCTTTGCAAGAGCTATTTTTTTTTTCTTCCTGAAATACCTTCTTCACCTGACTATCTCCTTTTTATCATTTGGGACTCAGCTTAATTTTTACCTGCTCAGAAAGACTTGCCTTAAATATGATAAGTGAAGGAATTCTCACTCCCCTTACCACTTTTGTTTTTCCTCCTAGAGTCTATCACCATCAAAATCACTTGTATTTGCTTGTTTTTACCTTTTGTCTCCTATCACTGAAAGCGCAATAAGAGCAAATTCTTGCCTGTCTATTCATAGCACTTACATACTCAGGATATAGTGTAGGTGTTTTGTGAATATTTCTTGAATGACTGTAAGGGTCCTTTCCTGTTAATGACATGGAGAGTTATAGTACCAATACTACTGGAAATAATTTGTAGACACATAAAAGTCAAAGCAACTAAAATCAAAGTGGCATTTAGTAAATGTAGATGATAAATAAACTGAAAATTAACATATTATTTCTGAAATTAACAAAATTTGGCCACAGGAAATTTAGCCTTCATAGAGTTAAATATTATTACAAACTTAATAGCGTTAAATTTAATTTAATACAATTAAAACTAACAACTAAAACCACAAGAAAGTAATATTATTAAAAGTAATACTCTTAGAAGATAAAATATAATGGTTAAATTTAAAATAAAAAATAAAATTTTACTGTCAAAGTTGCATAAAAAAGAAAATATCCAGTGGAAAGTATTCAGAAAAAATTAAAATGGAAAACAAAATATTATACAACTGTTTGGGATAGATTAATTCTTCAATGAATTGTTTCAATGTATAGAAAACACATTTTTAATGTTTTACTAATGTTTGTATAATTTTTATATAGGTTTATATTAAAATATAAAGATAAGAGAAACAAGATAACAATATCTTGTAAACTTTTTCTTTAGTCTATTTCCTTGATCAGTTAGAAAACTTAAACAATCTTAGAATTGTTAGTAATTATGTGGCTATATAACCAATGTGATCCTGCAATCTGTACAAGTGGAAAAATAAGAATTAATACCCCATTTGAATCAAATGTTTGATACGTCAAGATCATTGTAATGTTTTGAGCAACTAATAAAAAAATTAAAAGAGAAAAAAAGATTTTCTTTTAATTAAGATTTACAAAACTTCTTACTTTGAAATAACTTTAATTTCCAGAAAACTTACAAAAGTAGTAGAGTTTCCATGTCCCCCGTTATTCAGCCTCTGTTAACAACTTATATGACTATTATGTAGTTACAATATCAGGTAATGAAATACCAGTATAATACTATTAAATTAACTGAAAACTTTATTTAAACGTTTTCCCCCTATTGTTCCAGAATCTAATTCAGGACCTCCCTCTGCATTTAGTTGTGTGTCTCTTTATTCTTCTCCAGTCTATTATAGTTACTCAGTCTTGGTCTTTCTTCTATGACCTTCCCACTTGTGACAAATGCTGGAAGCTTATTTTATAGAATGCGTCTGAATCGTCGTTTTCCTGGTGCTTTCTGATGATTATATGAAAGTCTGCTTTTCTCCCAAAGATACCCTATTGATGATGCCATCTTCTCATGGGCATCATACTGTGGGTTTATGATGACTCTTCATCTCAGTATTAGTGATCCCCACCAAGTTCTTAAGAGGATGGTGGTTCTGGAGACTAGTAACAAGAGGAACCCTTGGTCTGTCTGTACTATGGATGGAGAGTCATGAAGAACATGCAAAACCCTGCTTGCCTGTTACGTTCTTTTTTATTTTTTATATTTTTGGTACTGGTAAGCAAACCCTCTGAGCTACATTCCCAGCCCTTTTTAACATTTTATTTAGAGAAAGGGTCTCACTAAATTGCTTAGGGCCTAGCTTAATTGCTGAGATTGGCTTTGAACTCACTTGATCTTCATGCCTCGACCTCCAGGATTATAGCTTCAGGGATTACAGGTGCACACCACCATGCCTGGCTCTGTTACATTCTTTACCCTCAGTAAAATGAGTCAATTTTTAAGTTTTTTGATATTATCCAGTTAGGTGAATATTACTTTAATGAAAAATAGACAGGGACAAATACTTTGGATTGTTTTGGAGTCCCACAGACATTGAAGTACTTCAACAAACTCTAGTTTTATCAATAAACTCTATTTATTTTTATCATCAAAATCATTACTTTTTCTTTCTTTTTTATCTCTGATATTATCTTAATAACTGAAAATTTCAATGGTTCTTTTCAAAAAGACTCAGAAAGGGGAAATGAATATAAAATGCTATATTACTCATCTATTTTGGATCTTTCTTCTTCCTGTCATTCCTTCCTTCCTTCCTTATGGGTTAGGTCAAATAATAATGATAGATACATTTTCAATTTCATATTTTTTCTTATCATTTGGTGTAAAATAGAAATATAGGATATAATGAATGTGGACAATTGAATTGTGGTGAAAAACTGACCACAGTTTTCTCCTACTGGGATTCCTCACAAGGACATACTTATGGGTTGATCTCTTAAAGTAAACACTGGCCTTCTCTTGGAGAAATGAAAAAAACAACAATCCCCTTGTAGAGGATGATTAATAATTTTCTTTTAACTTGAAATGAATTCAAGGAGTTTTAGTTCAGGTTAGGAAGCCAGTTGCCTAAAAAATAGGCTTGAACCTGGCTTTGAGTAGGCCTGTATTCCTAATGTTCTTTTTACCATGATGCAGAAAGTAGAGTTACTGTGGGTAGCTCATTTACTCTCAGTATGTCTAACATGGAAATGATGATACATTTTTCACCTGTTAGGCTTTTGTCGGAATGAAATAGTGAGGACTTTCTGGGAATACAAAGATAAGAGATTGCCTTATCTATAGCTCTGTCATACTCCCTGGATTGCCCTCTTCTTTTGATGGCAAATGAAGAAGTTCAATACCACCTGGCTTGATCAAAAGAAGCAAAAAAAAATTTTTTTTGGCTCATTTAACTTAAAAGTTCAGGAGTTGGCTTATCTAGTAATTTAAATAACTCTTTCAAGGATTTCTCTCTCTGCCCAAGTCTTAGTTCTCTCATCCTTGGATATGTGTTCAGTCAGGTTTGCTGTTTGTGACAAAATGACTTTCTGGCTCATATTCTATAATTTTGGCAAGCACAACTGATTTTGTGCCCATGTCTGAACCAGAGGGAAAGATCCCCTGACTGGTGTGGCCTGAGGTGAATGCTAATGCCAGTTCCACTTAAACTCTACTTAGGAACCAAGTGGAAGAGAGTGGTTGTGCAGTGGAGAGTTGAGGTACTATTAGAAGGAGAACTCCAAAGGATGGAAAGTCTGCTGGGATGGAAAAAAAAAAATAGCTCCTGTCCACCAGGCCCTCCTTAACCTGTTGAACCTCTTTCCACCTATTGAAATTCTATCAATCCTCTAAGGATTGTCTTAAGAGTCTCCCTTTGAAGTCACTCCTGATCCTCTAGCCAAGAATCGTGTCTTCCCCTTTTGTGTTCTTTAGCACTTTGTGTCTTTTTTTTTTTTTTTTTTTGGTGCTTATTTTAGTAAACTCTATGTTATTGGTACAAGTTCACTTTTTAGATTTTCTATTGTCAATTTTTGAGGGCAGATACGGTATCTTACTTCTCTTTAAATCTTCAACAGGGCCCAACAAATGCCTGATTTATAATAGACTATCAGCAAATATTTATTAAACTGTCTTCTTAATGTTGTACAAGTTATGAATAATGGAAAATAAACAAGACGAGATAATTTTATTATGTACATAATTTATTAACTGATTAATTTATGAAAAGACAAACAGAAGCGATGTTAACTATTCTAAGAAGCCATTTATGTTTAAGAAATAAGAACTGCGGCCCCAGGAGAGTGATCAACCATTGTGAGGACTTACTGGGAGGGGGTGCTGCAGGATCTACTCTTCATTCACTAACTCTTTGCCTTCCCCTTTTGTTCTTCAGTTGTCTGGGTTCACAACGAAGCTTGTTTCAGCTATCCAGAATGCCCATAAGAATTCTGCTGGATCTGGAAGAGAAAAAGGACTGATGGTGTTAACCCAACCCATTATGATTGAGACCTACACAGGGCTGATGTCATTTATTGGAAATCGCAACAAACTTGGCTATTCTCTTGCCCGTGGGAGTGTTGGTTTTTGAGACTCTTTTTGGTACATTATCCATAGATATGCCATTATTGAAGATTTTGCTTCAGTCCACTGTATTTTTGGATAGAAACAGTTAGAATTTTTAGATAGTACTATATGACTTTGAATATTTAATATTTCAAGAAAACTGAAAGCTTGATTGACTGGATAGATACACATTTCAGGTGTATCTATTTTACTAAATTTTATTAAAATTGGAAAATAAATATTGCTGAACCCAAGTAATGTTATCAAATAAGTGCCTGATCATAAACTCTGAGCAGACTCTGGTTTCTTTTTTCTCCTGCTTATTATGTGTAGGCATTTGCCAGGTTCTGGTCTTCACCCTTCTGATCCATATGTATTCCCCATTAGTTCTCCCTAGCTCTATTATTGTAGCTATCACTTTTATGAAGATGACTTCCACATCCTTATCCATACCCCCAGTATTTACTCCAAGATTCAGTTTCACATTTCTGTTTGCCAATTGTGTACATATCAGTGTTCCAATGGCCCTTCAAATTTAGCATGTTTATGGTCCCATTTCTCAATCACTGAAATCCATCAGTTTTCACTTGTATAAATGCATTCCATATCGTACAACATCTGTATGTGGTTTGGCCTTGTATTCCGATATCCAGACATTGAGCTTAAACCTCATTCTCCTTTCACAACTGTTCAAATATTCCTTCTCCTTTCCATTCTCATAGTGATAGGACTAGATCAAGATTTTAATTATGCTCATATATGATAGTTACAATATCCTTTAATTGGGATCCCTATTCCAAGGTTGTTTCTATCCTTTATGTGCTTGGTTGCCAGATTCTGAAAGCACAGTTTGATTGTATCACTCCCTGGATTAGGAATTTTCAATGACTCATCTCCCTTTGCATATTTTTTGTTGAAATGTTTTTATTCAATAATGGATCCTTTCTTCAAATAAAATCTCCCATAGGAGCCCCTAAACACCTCAAAAAAAAAAGTAGGAACTCTGTAATTGAAGTGCAGATGAGAATGTCATTGGTCTCTCACTGTTTAAGTCTCAGATTGCTCCATTTGGGATTGATTACCATAAAATTATTGCAATAAACTTTTTGCCTTTCCCAGGACCCAATAGTTATTGCTAATGATCAGTTAATTACACCCCCCCCACACACACACACTTTGGGAAAAAGCTGAAGCAATCATATGAAACCATGTCCATGGATCTTAGAGTGTTTTGAGAACCACATTTTCAAAAACATTATCCTAACTCACTTTGTTCCCATTACTCTTATTTTTCATTTCTTCTTTGTGTCTCCATAAGTTAGATCTAATTTTGAACAATCCAGGAGAGGGTTTTTGTGTTTTTTTTTGTAATTTTAAATCTTACTTTATTTAAATACATTTAGAAAAGCATATTTTTGAATATTGATTACCATAAAATTATTACAATAGACTTTTTGCCTTTCTCAAGACCCAAAGTTGAGATATCTTGGTTGACATTCAAATTGAAAACTCCAGCTAAGTTTTTTGTTTGTTTGTTGTTTGATTTGGGCTTGTATCACTTATTTCTAAGTCTTAAAATATCTTACTTTCTCAATTTCAAATATTTATTCTCTGATACATTTACAAACAACAATTTGATGTAAGCCTTTAAAACCTCAACTTTGAATATCCCTTATTTTATTTTGTCTCTTTTTTCTTCCATTAATATATCTGTCCTTTCCTCTTGTCCCCCTTTACATTACTCACTCCCTCCCCAATATTAACAAATATTGTTATAGTCCCCAAGGCAAGGAACTTCTATTCAGACTGTGAAAGGAAATGTTGAAATACTTAGCTGTCCTGTCAACAGTAGTGGGATGAAAAGTCGTTAGATTATTTTGGCAGTGGTTCTGAAGCAGGCATTATTGGCAAATTATTGTAATATTGCTCCCTGAAAATCCCCATATGGCTCAAGATAGTGGCATTTGCTGGCAGAAACCTTTGAAATGTCCAGCACATTCTTCTGAGGATTGCTCTGACAATTGACTTCTCTCTGCACATTTGTCCCTTTTGTAACTGAGGCCAGCCTGTTCCCTGATATCCTCCTAAAGGACACAGTGTAGCAGCATCAACAGGAACTTTGCTTAGAAAGGATGAAAGGAGGGAGCTACTTCTTATTCTTGAGACCTAGTCTGTGACAATAGGATAAGCGTTTAATGGAACCAAAACTGTTTCATGTGAAGAAGTGAACTCAGAGTTGACATGAGAACTCTTTACCCTTCATGGGGACTGCCTGCCAGATAAGATATTCCATTAACTGATAAATGGGACCTAGAAGGCAGGATTATGACCAGAGTGTGAGAGGATTCAGGAATTAGGATAGCAGTTCAAGATAAGAAGAACTTCTTTACAGTTATAAGTGTCCACTGATGGAAAGGGTTGCTTTGTGAAATACTGAGCCCCCCTTCACTCAAATGTACCAGAAAAAAATAGATAAAGGGGATATTATAAAAGGCATTGCTGTATTGTAACATTTGGAGAGAAGAAATAATCATTTAAGGCTAGTGATCTTATAATTCTCCAAATAATTATTGCTAATGATCAGCTAATTACACCAAACACACACACTTTGGGAAAAAGCTGAATCTATCATATGAAACCATGAAAGATTAACTTTTCTAATGTTTAATTGTGTCTTCCCCAATTTGGAGACAATGATACTATTTCTGCCTGCTGCATAAAGATCTTTTGAGGGTTCAATAAAAGGAAGACAAATTCTTTTATTAAATATAAAACACTGAATACCTTTCTATAGAGTGTTGTGACTTCAGTAGCATCAAATGGGACAAATCCAAGGCAACTCAATTCACTTCCCTCCAAGAGTTGTTTCTTGGTCACCATGGACTTTCTCATTTGATGCTTGGTGTTTTCACTTAGCTTCTTTTTCCTTATGCACAATTGGCACCAGAATCCTGGGGACCTTCATGTATATCTGAGTTTCTTCAGACTGATATCTGAAATGTCCACTTATATTTCCCAAAGGAATACTATAAGTTTAACAATGAATAGAACAGACAGGAGGCATTAAGTACTATCACCACAAAAGTGTCAAGGTGAATGTTCCTCATTATTGGATCTTTATTTCGTTCAGTAATTCTCACAAAATTTTTAATAAGCCTCCTTTCAGAAATGACATAAGTATATCCACTGACTAATTCCTCACAGTCTTTTGATACATCTTGGTCTGTTTTGATGGTTAGGAAATTCTCCTTGTGTTGACTTGGAATCAATAATGTCTGTCTGCCATCTTTTCACTTAAAAAACAAAACTGTTATGGATTAGAGTAAGGTAAGCTTGGGTTTTCATGACAAGATGTGGAGCATTAGGTTACAGAGGCAAGACTGATGAATTCTCTAGAGTTTATAAGAGCGGATGTCAAAAGTCAGAATGCCTCACCTTCCAGAGGCCAATCAAGCTTCTTCTTCTGCCTGACTTTTGGCTGTCTTTTAAGTGGAAAAGAGTGGGTGATTTGTGAGTTGGCTGTTTTTGCATCATTCGCCTTAAGGCTCACTTTCCTTGTTCCTTTGCTGTGCTGTTCTAAGGAAGCCAATTCTCAGAGCCCTGGGGCTAAGATAGCAAGGAAACCACCTACTCCAATGCTTTCACTTCACAGACTATGAAGCAAAGGCCTAGAAACTAGGAAGAAATTGGTAAAAAAAAAAAATAAAAAAATGGCAAATTCTTGGCAATGCTGATATTAGAGCAAATCTCCCAATTCCTATTTTTGGCACACTGCGCTTTCTAATATAATATCTCCATTTGCAGAGGCCTGTCATCTGAATCAGTGTATCATATTTGCTGGGTTAATTCTAAAGTGAGAAAACAATAGATCATAGTTGTTAGGGGGAATTTCCAGAATTTATCTTTCTTTTCTTAAAGGCTAAGGTCACTCATAGACCTCTCTGATTTCCCATCTGATCAAAACGCGCAAACAAAGCGGCGGAAGCCAGCAGTGCCAACAGATATTTTGTTAGGCCTCTTTACCTCTGCCTGGCATTTTGTGGGGCAGGAGAGGGAGGGCAAATGTATTAAATTTAGGCTTAAAAGCTCCTCAGAAATTCTTTACACACAGGAGACCAAGTTGGAGAAAAGAAGATGACTTGTGCCAAGGGGAAGAAAAAGAGAGGCTAATGCCTGTGGTTTTCAAAGGTTAATAACAGCAAAAAAAAAAAAAAAAGTCCAAGTATTTGCTCAGGGATGAATGCTCGTTGGCTCTCGGCCAACAATTATACAAGGGCTTGTGCCCACATCCTGTAGCTGTGGTTTAGGGACGCTGCTCATGAGTGACTTCTTATGCTTAGTGGCAGGAAACTTTAGTCACTGATGTGTAAACCCTCCTTTGGTCTGCACCTCCCACAATGTGCTCTGAAGGCAGTCAGGGGGCCAGGCCTCCCGATTTCCTTGCAGATACCATTCCCCAGAAGCTAATGAAGAACTTCATTTGGGATTTTGGTAATGATCAAGCATCAATCAATATTTATTCCACCTAATTTTGGCAACCCCTTAGAATAATTCTGCAGCCATTGATCCCAGATATGGTTTTGTTGCTTGAGCAAAGTACCTGGTATGCAGTTATTGATTTGCTATATTTTTGTACCCTCTCCTTTCCTTTCCTTCCTTTTCCTTCTGTCCCCTTCCCCTCTTCCCCCTTTTCTTCCTTTCCTCTCTCTCCTTGTTATTAAGACCAGCAGAAGCAGTTAGCTTTCAGCTGAAAGTATCAAAAACATAATCAGGGTTACATCAACCTTTCAACCCTATGCTATATTCTAGTTAGCAGGGAACATGTTGACCTCTCCAGTATCCCACTGGTTCATTTTAATTGCTTATATCATGTTGACTGATCCAGGTAAATAGGAAGTAATAGCTATTAATAACAATTGTGTAACACACACACACACAAACATTATCTCTTTAAAATTCTTGGGATTTTGTCTCCAAAAGTCACATTGGGTATTTCTCAGGGAGATCAGTGGTCTGGAATGTGTTAATATGATCCCCATAAGACAAGTGATAAATTGTTGTACTAATTGACTAAGAAAGAGCCACACCATGCTTAAT